TTCCATTTAAGATTTTAGGATTGGTGTCACCCCCGCCCAGGGGGCTGCACGTGTTAACATGATTTTTTGACAAACTTGCGCCCCCCTCGAAAACAAAATCGATGGGTCTGAGCGTTTTTAAAAAAAAAAACTGAGCTGCCAGTAAATGCGTCTGTTTCGTTTTCGATGCGCCTCCCTGTATATATCTTTATCTTCTTCTTTATTATATATATATATATACTTATATAGACTTCGAAGTTGAGTCATTTATTTTAACAGTGAGTAGATCTGATCAAAGGAAATGTTTTTTTCCTTCAACATTTTTGTGGTAAAATTAAAGTAACAAAGTTATAGCCCTTTAGAAGTTTGAGTACCGCCATGTCTCAATAATAATATTATGTGCTCGTGTTTGGCAACAACGGATATACTCCGCCTTATCGGTTCATCGCATCGGAAACAAAAAAGCGAAAGAATTTGAAACGCTGATCACGATGTTTTTATTCAGTCAATGTGTCAGTCGGTAACGCGTGAATGAATAGTGGTGTTTGCTGCGTGGCTCAAACGAAATAAAAAAATGGCACATGTTTATGCGGATCGGTTTCCCAATCGAGTGCAACCAACCCCTCGTGCCTTTGTTAATGTAGTACAACGGGCTCGTGAATCAGGTGACTTAAGACCTCACAGGGGAGGGCATGCCGGTGCTCCAAGACCTCACGATCAAATACAGGTCCGCACAAATACTTGTCGGGAGGATACTTTATAAAACAAGGTAATTTTTTTTTTATTTTTTTTTTATTTTTACACACATATTTTGGTTTATCTTCGTTCTACAATCATTATCTGAAAATAAATGACTCAACTTCAAAGTCACCATATATATATATACATATATATATATAAAATTCTCGTGTCACAATGCCCTTCAAAACATTTGGCCAGGCACATACGTATCAGATTCAGACCCATAAGTGTCAGATTCAGACACAAAAGTGTCAGACTCAGACACATAAGTGTCAGATCCAGCCACATAAGTGTCAGATCCCACTTCTGAGAAAATGTAAGAGATGATATCAAGAGATGATAATAGAAATATAACGATAAGCGTAAAAACAACAATTCCACCTTACAAGCGTTCGAAGTACTACCCTGTACCTTTTCACTTTTATTACGAGAGTAGTACATACACAACTTAACAAGGGCTTCAATGTCAGGATAATTTTAAAGCCACTTACTTGGTGACGTTAACGACAGGGGAGTTGTTCTTCCTTGGCGAGAGATACGGTCGCTAGAACTGGGTTGTCGGGGCCAAGCCTATTTTTAAGAAAAACCTTTTGAGTACCTTCCATATTCTACCGACTCATGACATGCACAACTCTACTGTCTATTCATTATATTAATTAGCTGTCTGAATACTGATCACAAAACAATATAATAATGGCCATGATATTTCTCAATTATATTATTACAAATTACAATACATTGCATGGGGGAACGGTAGCATCCTACCGCATGGAAGTCACACCCATGTCCATAACGAGGGGAACGGTAGCTACCTCATTGAAGTCACGCCCGTGTCCATGATCAGGGGAACGGTAGCTTCCTACCGCATGGAAGTCACGCCTGATATGGAAATATAATACCTTGCACGGGGGAACGGTAGATTCCTACCGCATGGAAGTCACGCCCGTGCCCATACTCGGGGGAACGGTAGCTTCCTACCGTATTGAAGTCACGCCCGATATGGATACCTTTATAATCGGTGCTTAGACAGATATGCCAAGCACTTGATTGTTACGAAACGCAGCCCAGAAACCAGGATATCATGTTGGCGTGTCAATACCCAAAAGCTCCGACGTTACCTCTGATTGAGAGATAACCGAGCAGCGGACAACTTTAAGTAACAATCCCTATACTCATCTTGCCATGAGATACTTTCAGACTCCTGCGATTGCCTCGAGAAGAACCTAGGCGGTCACACAGACCCAGGATACCACGCCGGCCAATGGCCGTTGTGTCAATACCCAATACGCTCCGACATTTCCTCTGACAGAAGAAACCGAGCAGTAATTCCTTCGATGGCAACGCGGCTCTGTAGGTCTCATAACAGCCTCCAGGATATGGAAGCGTCGCACCTCGGTAGATGTTCGACGCTAAGTTACCTTTAACTGTTGATAAACATATCTCATCTGACTAGCTTTGACTTATTACAATTATTATCATGATTATAAGGGTACCATGGTTAGAAAATACACATGACATGCAGTACAGCAAAACAATAAAAGATACTCAGTGAAAACCCTCACCGTTTGATTGATCGAACCTTGACCTGATCTTGATATGGACACTATTCACAAAATCACAATACACAGACACTTCCACCTTTCAACTGTTAGAACAATATTAGAATGAACTAAGAGGGCCTGTGCCTCAGCGTGCCTTTGGTTTCACGAATACGCAGGGTCGTAAAGTGGTGGTTGAAATGTGTATGCCAGCAGTGCATTTCTTAGCATTCCAAGTGTCAAGCGATACTTTTACAGGGTGACTCACATGCAGAAAAGTGTCTAAAATTAGATTGGCATTTGCAATGACTATCAACAAATCCCAAGGCCAAACGATGTCTATTTGTGGCTTAGATTTAAGAACACCATGTTTTTCACACGGACAATTATACGTGGCATGCTCTCGAGTGGATAAACCATCCAGTTTGTTTGTGTTAGCTAAAGATGGGCTAACAAAAAATATTATTCACGCTATAGCATTAAGAGATTGATATTGATTGTTAGTGTTACTGTCGTAATTAATTAATTAATGATATATAATTTTAAGGAATAAATTATAATAACTTAAAAATAATGTTTGGCCTTTGTTATTTTTATATTCCCTCATCGTCCACAGCGCTCCATGCCTATTTCACGTATACCACATCCTTACACACTTACAATAAGTTGATTATTTTTTGTCTACACTAGAAATTACTTATAAATAATTTATATGGCAAAACAACGTTTGCTGGGGAAGCTAGTATATATATATATATATATATATATAATGTTAAGTAACAGTGTCTCATCCGTATGCGTAGATCTCAACGTAGTCGTGTCGCCGTCCTACCGTCCAGTACTGTGCGCGACATCTAACAACATTAAGTGAATTGATTATTTCCGTGATGTTTTTGAAGATTGAGCATTCTGTGATTCTATGTCATCAAAGAATTTATCAAGCAGAATTTTGTACAGCAACTGTGAACACTGTTAGTTTCAATACAATGCTCAGTAATGGCGTTATTCCAGTCTATTGTATCAGGTTTGATCCAGGTTTCGAGTAGGCCGCAAATCCTGTTTGATTAATAGAATTTGTGTCAACATTTGTGTTCGGTCACAAATGAAAAATTAGGTTTTTGTAGCTAAACCAGGTGATCTATGAAGCATTTTTGATTTAATATGGGAATTCGTCTTGCACAAATCGAATAATTTTTCGTTAATTTGAGACATCTTAAAAGAAATCGACCAAATTAATTTGCCCTATTACTCCGCTAGTACTCAGACGCCTTTCTCTGGTGTAATTTTTATCTAGGCGTAGATTTTGGTTCCCGCTGGTCAATAGTGAAATTGGGCCTTAATGTTGATAACTAACATTCCGGTGGGTTCTTTGAGATAAAATGGTATTTCGGCTTCCAAGGGCCCAGAAAACTTCGTCCCCGTCAACGTGTACTTTCCATCAGCTTGTCAGTGGTGAGCATTCTAATTACGACTCAAAAATCAATGGAATTATAATTGTTTATAAGGCAAAAATAGATAAACTCTTGGCAACGCATTTTTACATGATTTTAGCATAAGAAAATCTAGTATCGCTTTGAATAAGATATTAAACTAATTCTCTAGCAAGAGAATAAGCTCAATGTGAGGCCATTTGATTTATCCATAGTCGCTGGACGGCTCCTCAAAAAAATCCTATTTTCTAAAAAAAATGAATAACACATATTGTAGACACGGTTGAGCATTTTTAAATGAATTTTTTTCTGGATGTTGAACACCACAAAGGCTTCAACTTTTGTATATTATTTTAGAGTTACTATTATGCATATTCCAGTAATGTAGAAATTGACAATTTCTGTCGATTCTTTATAATAACAAATTAACCGTTACGGCAATTTGGATGTGTAAAGTCTCATTTTAGAGGTATTTTCGTCCACCACACTTCTTTTGGACCGCTTACACCAATTATTCATAGCTATTCAATATACGCGAAAAAGTGGTTATTCCAACTAGGTTTGATAAACAAAAAAGTTATTTGTAAGAGCCTTTTTGTATACCCTCAAGAGTATAATTTCTTTGCAAAACAGCTTATTAAAGTTTTTTTAGGCGAATTTGTAAAATTAGCGAGAACATGACAAGCTGGTAGAGCTGTAGAAGGGTCTACTCGTAGTTGTAGAAATACTTGAAAATATTCCATCCTCTAAACGTTACCTCCGTTATGTTTTCAAAAAAAACGAACCCTTATTTTTTAAAAACACTACACTCTCTAGACAATCTGATTATGTCTTAAGAATATGAACAGAATGATCTATTTATAATCATTCGACAGAACAAAATTACGTGACGCCTTTTTATATGCTATCCATGTAAGTGACATTAGCTTGCTAATTTTGAAAAAACCTAGCCTCACTGTCGCAGCATTACCTTCCGACCATATCTAACATATTAATAACATCGATGATAACGTTGTCCCTGTCGTGTTTGGTCAATCAAAATTCCTATAACCTATTGTACCATGTCTGGTATATGGAGCGTCTAAACGTTTTAGGCCATTAAACTTTATGTACGATCCTGCGGCGTTCCATATAGGATTCTCCTATTTTGATTTGCCTATTTACTCGTAAATTAGAATTAGAAACACTGTACTAATTTTCCAACTTGTTCGTTTAAATTGTCATTAATGTGTTTGGTGGGCTGATTTGCCTGTTTTTGTAAGCAATTTTAAGATTTGCATTTCATTACCACTATGATATTTTTACAACGCAGGCTATCGAGCATATGCAGAAGGACATGAAACTCGCCCTGGACCTGTCGGACCAAATGAAACAACCTCTTCTGATGACATCTACGGCGAACGAAGTGTACAAGCATGGTAGAAGGCTTGGATACGATGGCTTTGACGCTGCTTGTGTATACATGAGAACTAGACACTAGGGTTTCAGTTTCGGTTATTCAGTTATTAACAAAATATCTAATATAAGCAGAGAAGAAATACTATAAGTTCCACTCATTTTGTATTGCTGTTTACTGCCTTCAGGCCGTCAGTTGTGAGGGTAGGATACTACTCTTTTTAATATAAACCTTTGTTCGTAAAAAGTTTTGGTATTCATTGCTAAACAATTCTCTTAGTACTATGAGGAAAATAAGTAGTTTGTATATTCGTTCCAGTATAAATAATTGACAATGGAACTCATAATGATTTTTGAAGCTGGTCTGATTGTATGTCTTTTGTTAAAACAGTTCAAAAATTTTTGTGCGCCTGCGATTTACTGAATGGCTAGGTCAGTTTCCTGGACAAGATCTATTTGTTTCATTGATTAGCTTTCAACTCATTTATGTACCCTTTACTACACAGTTTTGTTTTTTTTCATTTTTTCCCAAACTAACTTTACTACATCCTCTCTTAACAATTTATAGTGATATTTGAAGCTTAGAATATTTGTTATTCAAAAATATAAACTGATTCATTTACTACTTTCTTACTAGAAACACTAATATTCAAAAAATATATTTACACAAAAGTTCTCTTCCTATCAGCTGGAATTCAAGAGTTATATCAGTATGTGTCCACAATTAAATAGCAACAATGAATTTAATAAGGCTTGTGTTTCAAGATTATTTGGGATAACATTGGGTTTTTGGCATACGAGTAAAAAAATCATTACTCCTATATAAACTAACTATCAATTTAAGGAGTGATTGTTTAACATGATATTGAACATTTTAATCTTATCCATATTTGACATACAATAAGATACAAATAAGTTTTAAAGTAGTTTATGGTTTTATTACAAAATAAGTTGGAGGGCTTACATCACTGTCATCCATTTGAATTAGTTCATATCTTAAGTGTGTCGTTTCCGCTGAAAGTCGCAAGTTTTTTATTTTGTCAGGCGATTTTCCCCTCATGGCCGCCTGATTTTAGTATAAATATGTGAATATGTATTTCTGATATTAACTGTAATAGATAGTAACTTTGCCTGTATTTTCTTTTACAAATAGATATCTTTTCACAAGAACTGCTTTTTTTTTCGTTGGAATGAAAAACGACCTCGGATTGGCCGAACGGATTTTCAAGGTCAACCGGCTATCAGCTACCTTTTCCAAAGCACATGGTGGCCAACCAAGTTGCGTTGCTACGGTATCTGGGAAGCGATGCAACGTAGAGGCTTGCGGCAAAAACAGTTTACTACTATTACTGTTACTAAAACGGCCAAGAGAAAAACCAGGAATGTACTTTCAAGTTTCTGAAATGGCCTGTAGGGGGCGTAACTGCAATCTTGAATCTAAAAAAGAGGTTTCTGTGAATTCCGCGATATTAACCTAATAAAAAATACATGATCTTTAAATTCGAGAATAATGTGAACTTTTTTGTTTCTCTAAAAATAACGTAGTGGGGAATATTAAGGGAATCCATCAGCCGGCAAAGAGACATAATTCTCTAGGTGGCAGCTCAGTTATTAATCCCTGCATTAAACCATAGGACCCCCTTAATCCAACCTTCTGCTGTTCAAAGCACAGGTATCAGCAAAGCCGCATAAGGCAAGGTAGTCAGATTTGCGACAACAGAGTTTATTGCTTTTCAAGCGGCCGGCTGGGTGTCTTCGTCCGTACCAAACCGTAGAGCGGTATCTATTTACCCCCGTGTCGCGAGTCTTTTATTGGGCGCTAGCATCGAAAGTCTTATATCAAAAAGCTTGACACTGTACAGAAATAGCCAGTTGATGGTACTTCAATTGAAAATTTATTTGAAGTGCACCTCACTCAATTTTTTTAAACGTTTTTCACAAGTGCTTTCTTCCTGTGAGTTTATTTAGTCAAGAAATCAATATTTGTGGAAAAATTAGTCCAAGCCCTTACTCTTTTTATTTGTTTACACTGTTCCTTGATCGACACAGTGCGACTTCAAACTACGTTATTTTTGTATTTTCGAACATACTTTAAATTAATATGTAAAAAGTATGGTTTATAATCAATTTCTGGTGTGTAAATAATCATTTAAATCGGTTTGCTATGGTCCGATATATAAAGTTTTGTGTGGACAAATCGTAAATTTGCAAAAAATGAATTTAGAACTTCTTTATTTTCATTATGATAAGGCATTCCTCCATACCAGCTTACCACCTACCATTTCACTAGGTCCATTTAATTAATATTGTAATCATAGACGAAAATACCCCTGGTTTGCGAAATAATTTTATAGTTTTATTGCTGCAAGTTGTTCAAGGGGGTATTCAAAACATTGACGCATAAAATAGGTACACCAATTTTTGTGGGAAAACTTTTTATTCTACAACAAAGAATGAGAAAACGTGTTTTTTGGTATTCAATCAGGACCTACAAAATAAGACCACACGCAAAAAGATCCTACTAATAGAAAAAAGTTTTGGCCGAAAACCCATGCAAACTGCAGGTTTTGGCACTTGTTGGTAATGCGACGATGTTTCCTCGCAGATATTTGAAATTCTTCAAATTCGTACTTCTCAATAATCACAAGAAAAATGGAGTAGATTCGTCAAGTAGTTTTTGAGAATTCCTAATTGTTCATCCCAAAACACCTGTTTTCCGGCCATGACAACTAGTTTATTGAGCAATATAGAGGGTTAGTTCAAAGGGCATTTTATAGCCAAATATAGTTTACCTTTTACGTTACGCTTTTTCTTCCAAACAAATTCAAAAACTTAATATTTGTGAGTAATTTGCAACAAAATATGCTAGTCACTGCCGCTTTGCTTTAAAATGTGTATAGTAATGTGTTTCGAATATCGTAGCGAATCTCTTCAATTACTCACAAATACGAAATCTTTGAATTTTTTAGAAGAAAAAAATGTTACCTTTGTTTTTCGCATAAAAGTAAAATTTATCTTTCGGAATGGTTTGTGATCATATCGGCAAGGGAAATACGTGTATTTTGCTATTAAATGCTCTTTGAACGAACCCTGTATATAGCTCAATAAACTAGTAGTGATGGCCAGAAAACAGGTGTTTTGGGATAAACAACTAGAAATTCTCAAAAAACTACTTGACCAATATAATCCAATTTTGTTATTATTTAGATGTATGAATCCTACGAATTTGAAGAATTTCAAATAGTTGCGTGAAACTATCGTCGCATTACCAACAAGTGCCAAAACCTGCAGTTTACCTCGTTCTTCGGCCATAACATTTTTGCTATTTGTCGGATCTTTTTACGTGTGGTCTCATTTTGTAGGTCTCATAAATACCTAAAAACCTTATATCAAAAGTGTTTTCGTTCCTGTCAACACTTTCGATTGAATCTCAAAAAACACGATTTCTGATTCTTTGTTGTCAAATAAAAAGTTTTCACACAAAAATTGGTGTACCTATTTTATGCGTCCATGTTTGAACAACTTGCACCAATAAAACCACACTTTACAATTATTTCGGAGAAATTTGCTAATATGATTAGACTATAAGGCGGAAACAGTTTGTATCGGTTAGCTCTCGGGAGATTGGTAGGGTCGGCAGACTTTTTGAAATGATTTGTTTTTTGTATGTTGGAAGGTAGACAATTAGATGGTGGTGAGCCGATGGACGTTAAAACTAAAATAAGGCACAATCTGAAGATTTCTATTGGAATATTTTTCGAACCATTGACGCTCCTAAGATCTTATTTTATGGCAGTGAGAGGTAAAGGCAGTTGGCAATGGGCAGAATAAATAGCACAAACATTTTTGTGTAATACAATGTCTCAGAGTTATGCATATTTCTAGCTTTCACAATATTAAACAAATTCACTAAATCTGGAATGAGCATTTGAGAAAGGAAGGGGTTCATGGAGTGTTTCTTTGGGAACGCCAGTGATTCAAATGCTAGTGTTGAAATTTTTATAACACGCATATTAATTATGTGAGCTTTTTGCTTTCTTATTGTTACTTGCCACAGCAAGGAGGGAATCACATTTATGATTTTTGTTTGTTTACCAGAGTTTGATGAAATTTTTTACTGAATATGATTAAACAAAGAACTTTCCGAAAATCCGGTTGTTCTATAAAGTTTGCATATTTAGCATACTTTTGGGTGCAATTTTTAGGATTTGCCCTCTGAGAAAATTTGCTGCTCCCCGCTATTAGAGCAACGCCAAAAAAAAAGACCCAAAAATGCTAACATAAGACAAGATGCATTTTTAAAGTATCGTCATGAGTCAAGAAATTTGGAATAAAACATCAAATATATTCAGATTTGGAATTTATTCAGACAAAAAACATGTTTCCCAGCATCATTGTATACATATACTCTCAGAAATATAGAATTTCCTTATAAACAAGAACATTGTAATTATTCATAGTAGCAAATTTGTAAAAGACGTATAAAAATGTATTCAGGGTGGTCCGTTTAAAGTGGTCCAAAAAAAATATATATTTTTTTTTTTTTTGATAAAAAGGATAATAAAATGCTTCTGAAATCAATACTGTTGGAGCTAGGTTTGTTTGCACTTTTGGGTATTTGTGATTTCGTTCACAAAAATTCGATTTGTTTGAGAACCATACCACCGAATCGAATAAAATTTGGCTGGGATGCAATTAATAATGTAGCAACCACGAAATATACAGCAATTGTGCTCTGTATATATTTTCTGCTACTATTGTAGATTTTATTAAGGTTAATTAATTTTTCCATAGAGAACTTGCTATTCAAAAATATTAAATACTAAATATAAAAATCAAATTAATTGAACTACAATAACAGCTTCAAAAAATGAGATACGAGTAGCTAAACCACTAGCATAAAGTCCAGCCTCAACAGTAATTTTAAAAAATAACTACCGTTTTAACAGAAAGGGTTCAAATTGTTTCAATGGATTTACTAAATTAGTTGTGCTGTGGTGTACAGGGTGGCCGCATTTCAGTGCGCATTTAAAATCGTCTGTGTTTCTTTGGTATTTACTATACTAATAACAGTTTATTCAAAACTATACCAAAAACTAGGTTGAATCACATATCAAACCAAGAATATATTAAGATATAATCTATCTATGTCCAATAATTAAAACTGTATTCGAGCTATAACAGATGTGACAAATTTCAAAAGCGACATCATAAACGTTTTACGAACACAATCTCGGAACTTTTGGTACGGCAACATTTCGGGACAATTTAATTCTTGCATTATTGTCCTCTTTGATGCCTCACTTACCACTCCAGACGCTGCATTATAGCCATGGCCGTATGTCCTCTTCCTCCAACCTCCTTCTACAATGACAGCCATGTGAGGTGTATCGTCGGGCATGACGTGGCCTTTCTGTAAGGCTTTTTCCTTTTCTTGTTTCTCATTCTCCTGCATATCTACTTGCAAGTAATCTTGCCAAATCTTTGAAAAATAGCGGATTACTAAATCTTATAAGTAGAATGAATGTATCCGTTTTATATTTACCCAAATACTTAAAAAATGTATCACTGCTTTGTGGCGAACATGTAACATAGACTCAAAAAAATAAGACTTAGTGACCTTTTTGAAAAGCACAATATACTCGTGCCCGTCAAGTGGAGTTTTCTCATCTAGTTATATTTGTATTTACAGTAGAATACTTTTAAAATGTTTTACACATCAAAATCAGAAACAGATATTCCACAATTACATTGTGCAAGTTATATGTCTCTTTTCGGAATCTCCGAGAAGCCATTGGAGGTATATCCAAAATCCCCATGAGTTCCTCATATTAGCTGTACCCAGCAACGGTTGTAACTGCTTCGCGCACAGCAGCGCTGTTGATACGTTTGCACTGAGAATCGGTTGGTTCTGATTGTATTACAACAGCTTTGTTCAATTGTCACGAAAAATGGCGTTTGAACAGGTGTTCATGTCAAGTTTCGTCAACTAGATCCATTCTGCCCATGGTACATTTCTTATAATAGTGCAAAACAGACATCTTCAATCAACATATGGCCAAGACTGACAATTCTTCGACCATGCAAAATGTCCGTCAGTTGTTTGAAATTTAAATCGATCTCCAAGTCCATTCCGCCATCGTCAGCTTTCATTTCCATATCAATGTTGTTGACATTACAACTAGCAGTAAGTTCAGTATGACTGTGGCAGTCATCATGGGCGGCTTGAGGAGTAGTTACATTCGTACTCACTTAAAATAACACAATATCAGTTTTAATTTGACACAAGGTTATCGAAACAGTAAGTAGGGATAAAGGCATAATAAGTGCTGAGTAAATCCACTTTTATATAAAATTTTGTTGCGCTATTCAACGGCTTATAGAATCAACTATACAAGATAGTTGAGTTGAAAAACTTCGGCTTACCTTATCATAATTCGATGCTCCTCTAATCCGTTTTAAAAGCTTCCAATTTCTATGGCAATTGCGTTTACGCACCTTGGACGGACACACACGTGCCTCTGGCATTTTCAGATTTAAAGTACACACAAACAGGAATCACAGGAATGAAAAAACAAAATACGAGTGCACAAAGAACAACTGCTCTGAACGATAGGTTTCAGGGAATTAAACATCGAAAGTAAATAAAAGCCCCCAATAACCTTTTCCTTTAGACAAAAAATTTTCAGTTGCATTTAAGAAGATACATGCGAGAAACTGGTACCCCGATAGCATTAAAAATGTTTGATAAATATTTAATATATATATATATATATATATATATACAGGGTTATCCAAATTAAGTGTCCACCATTAGTAACTTTGTTATTAGTGAAAATACAAAATTGTTTGAATTAGCAAACTAGTAGCATTTTTAACGCTGGTAAAAATGAGAAATAAAAAATTGAGAGTCGTTATTTTGATTTTTTTCAGTAAAATAACATTTTTTTAAATGGAAACCCCTGTATATTATATTTTTTTCTGTTAAAGCATCAAATTTTAAACAAAAAAGCTTACAATAACTTTTCTCCTAGGTTACAAATTGTTGAAGTTATGGCCTCCAATCTGAAACAATTAAATTGTATCGACAAACTTTATTTTCAACATCAACTTATAATCTTACAAAATACAATAACAATTTTTTTTAAAGAAGATGCTCGAAAACACCACCTTGTTCTTCAATACATTTTTGGGCACGTTTTTCAACTGCTCGAACTGTCTTAAGTATGGTCCTACCATCTATCTGGGTTATCTTTTCCCTAACTGCAGTCTTTAACGCGTCAAGGTTATCGTACCTTCGCTTGTAAATTTGGTTCTTTAAGTAACCCCACTGGGGACCTCGGTTGGCCGCGTGGGTCAGAGTGTCGTGCTACTGATCAGCCGGTCGGCCTGGCCGCGAGTTCGAATCTCGCCTTGGCCATGGATGTTGTGACGTCGTGTGCTTGTCCATAAATTAGAAATTTCAAATATAACAACCTAGTTTCTGGCTGCATGGATTAGGTCCTAAAGCCAAAAAAAAAAAAGTAACCCCACAAGAAGTAATCAAGTGGGTTTAGATCTGGTGATCTGGGAGGCCACTGTATTGGGCCATTTGTTCCTATCCACTGATCATTAAAAGTAGTACTTAGAAAATGATAAGTACCTCTGGAGTTGTGGGCAGGTGCGCCATCTTGCTGAAAATGCAGATGATGTCTACTTATAAGATCCAATTCGTCTAAGAAATTAGTCAGAATTTCTGACATAAATTCCACATATCTTTCACCAGTTAGGGTTCCCTCATAAAAGAACGGGCCAACAATTTTTGAACCAATTATACCGCACCAAACGTTGAAACTGAAACGGACTTGTGGGCCTCTTGGATGTACTAACAAAAGATTTTCTCTTGACCAATAATGGTGTTTTTTTCTATTAAACATTCCAGAATTTGAAAAATTAGATTCATCTGTCCATAAAAGGTGACGAAAGTTATTTACATTTTGGCGACAGAAGCTAAGATACCAATGGCAAAAAACAAGTCTTCTCTCTGGATCCCCTGCCAAAAGCGTTTGAACTGGTCGGTACTTATACGGAATAAATTTGTATTTTTTTAAAATCCTTTGAACAGTACCATAACTGAAATTAGAGTCCTTGAGAATATCTGCTATTGAATTCTCACGATAAGCTTCAAAATATCCAATAACTGCAATTTCCGTGGCCTCGCTTATTATGAATTCTTTTTTTGCCCTTGTTTTAGCAAAAACATTTTCGTTGCCCCTAAATTTTCGATAAAGTCTCAGAAAATATCGTTCATACGGTTGAATGCGAGCGGGATATAATTCACTGTAGTATTCTCTTGCTCTCAAGGAGGATTTTCTGCACACTAAATAGCATTCTAACATATCACACTTTTCTTCATGGGAGAACATTTTTCTTTAAATTAATGACACAATAAAGCTTATAAACAAGTATTTACACTAATCTTTGACATTATTTGATTTTATCATTGTTTTCCAAAGCCTTCTAGTTGCGAGTATGTCCAGTTTAACAATTTGTCGCTTATCTTAATGCTGTCAAATCGCGAACGCCATGTTGTTTTCATAGCCGTCTTAATATTATAATACTGCAAATAATTAAAAATATTTATCGTTATTTTGACTTTATTTTTGACTTTAGCGGAAAAGTCATTATGAACTTTTTTGTTTAAAATTTGATGCTTTAACAGAAAAAAATATAATATACAGGGGTTTCCATTTAAAAAAATGTTATTTTACTGAAAAAAATCAAAATAACGACTCTCAATTGTATTTTTTTATTTCTCATTTTTACCAGCGTTAAAAATGCTACTAGTTTGCTAATTCAAACAACTTTGTATTTTCACTAATAACAAAGTTACTAATGGTGGACACTTAATTTGGATAACCCTGTATATATATAACTCATATATTTTTTCCTAAATATTTAGAAAATATATGATGAAAGATTTTTAAATATCAATTTTATATTTTGATGAAATATTAACGTTTTTCGTAAATACGAGGGGCACGCTGTAAATTTTGAGATGCGCATTAACTATACTAGTTAAAACCGGCAACAGTGTACTATTAGAAAGAGCAGTCCTATATTAGTACGAGTAAGTCTAAGTCTCCGCATTCAGTTCATTTGCAAGCGTCTTATAGTGCACGTGGTGTAAACAAATTCAAGACGAAATATGGAGTTGTCTCGAGAGAGTTATCGCTATGTTTTACCATGACCTTAAGGTCGGTTTAACTGAACATCAATGAATCGAACGGTTACAATAGGCATTTGGTAATGAAGCTCCGTCCCGGGCAAGTGTGTTTCGCTGGTATGCTGAATTTAAAAGAGGGCGTGTTTCATTGGCTGATGAAGAACGTAGTGGTAGGCCATGTACTAGTGTGACTCCAGAAAACATTGCTAAAGTTCAGCGGCCAATTGAAGAAGATTCTCGCTGCACTGATGCGACTATAGAGGCAACTCTTGGGGTAGGATCCGCAACAATGCACACCATTTTGCATGATCATCTTCATTCAAAAAAGTTGTTGCAGAGGTACAATCCTGCATCACGACAATGCATCTAGCCAACACTACCCAACTAACTGTAGACTTTTTCGCCAGCGCCACATCAAAATGCTAGAACATCCGCCTTATTCCCCAGATTTAGCAATGTGTGACTTCTGGCTCTTCAAGAATTTGAAAACAAAATCTGCGTGGTCGAAATTTTTTGTCCACAGAGGAAATGATCAAGAAATAATTCAGTTTGTTGATGACATTCCAAAAACTGACTGGTTAGAAGCATTTCACTTATGGAAGGTCAGGTTACAGAAGTGCATTGATGCTGGAGGAGAATACTTTAAACATAAATAAACTAGTTTTCGAAAAATAGTTTTTAGTTTTCATGTATCTCAAAATATATAACGTGGCCCCGTATGTATGGATTTTTTATAAAATTCTTCATTGGTTATTTTAGCAAAATCCGTAGGAATGCTCTTATAAAATTGGGTTTATAAAGAAAATTAATTCTAGATATAATGGTTTAATTTGCTAGAAAAATATTAAAAGAACTTTCTAAGCCTCTTCTGCATCTTGCAAATCCACTCATCTGAAAAAAAAAACTTGGCAATTATGAAGTATTTTTGAATACATAAGCTGCTTTCCAGTAGTCTTTTGTTTGAGAGAGATATTCTCCCAAACTACTCTAGAAAGGGTATTTATGAGAATATAAAATGCAGTGGAAGTGGAGTAGCCCAACTGGGTCACTGAAAAGCAACTCTATAATGCACCTAAAAGGACCCCACATTTTTTTCCTATAAGAGTTCGAGATTTGGTTAATTTTTAAGAAAACTTGGTATGTTATTTTAGATATCTTGATGAAAACTATCCATTGGCACAACTTGATCCTTTGACTAACTTTCAAAGAAAAGGTTTTTAAACATAGACCACTTATTGATTTTGTTAAAA